TGAGCAAGTTCAGGTTGTTGACTTTTTCAAGTCAAACCTGGTTGAGTCAGGTTAGGGTTAGTTTTAACAGCTCTATATATATCACAGAAAAAAGGGGCAAAGGAGAAGAGAAAAAACCAGTTAAGGTAAAATTGCTTACTTTGCAATGCTTGGCAAGTCGTCATCTGTATCACAATCACGAAGAGAATACACTGAAGCTGTTGCTGAAGCTATCGTAACCTTTTGATCACCAAAAGAAGGCTTCCTATGGTGTTGTGAATTCATACATCTTGGTGATACCCGAACTTTCTGCCTTTCCCTTTGTGAAAACTCCCCATTGCATCTGGTTTTTCGGCATTCACAATGAGTCAAAATTGATAAATCTTTGTCAAATGTGTTGACTATCCTACAATCAATCTGTAAAATAAAATACAAAAGCAATCATGTTCCGCAATGAAGAAGGTCATATTGAAGTATGAAGCTTTATCCTACAATCTATCAAGTTAATTTAAAAGCATTGAGAAGAAACTGCATTTTTACTGAACAATTTACTGAACAATGCTAATAAAAGGGTTATATTAAATAGAGTAGTAGCACTTTACATTTTCTTTCATCTTTTTACAAAAGCTAGCACCAAATGTAGACTGTGAGAAAGCTTGATGTGATTTACTCTGTAGTCCAAATACATTAGAAGAATCTGCAGGAAACATTTAAATTCCTTAAATAGACTTCAGAAAACCAGAATTCTAAAGTTAAAAAGTAATTGCCTGCTTATGCACATACGTCATAATTAAACTAATCCTTGAAAGATCACCTATCTTGAGCTCAAAGCAGTCAGAGTTCTTATTACTAATAACAGCTGGATCCTTATCATCATCATATAAACATAACTAGAAAAGGGGAAAATAAACTAATATAACCGGCCAAACTAGTTAAATTTCTTTTTGATTCAGCTATCTACAAAGGAAAATAAGAATAAAATTCTATCGGTTACAGCCCAAATTCAATCTATTCTTATCTATGGATTTTTATCAATCTACATTTTCGCAGACCAACTAGGGAAGGTAAGCTTCAACAATTATACCACTTTATTTTGGAGTAGATCCTTTTGAGTCATAAGCCGATAGCTCTTTTTCAATGCAAAGGAGCACAAATACCAAGATTCGTCCCTAACTAGATTAGGATCATCAGTTATTTTTATTTAGTTAAATAACCATTTCAAGTTTAATGCCATAACATATCAATTGGCCCGTGTTAAGGAAAAACAACACCACAACAGTAGAATCTCAGAATCAACAAAATTTCCTGGCTACATGGAAACCAAAGTTCACTAAAGACTCCAAAAAATCTGAAATCATTTGGAAACTCACCAACAACATCTGAGCTTGGCGATTGTGTAGGCTTTTCACATCCATCAGCATCCTGTCCAACAAAAAATATGCAAATAATAAATGTTTTACTCAATAAAAAAAAGTCTATGCATAGTTACTGTCATTCATTCTCAAATGTGAAACACACCTACATTTTGATTAACATATGAAAATGAAAGATTTTTTTCTTTTAATAGTTAATAGTTTGACAAAAAAAAAAAGTACAAGCAATACAAGTAAACAAGTAAAGCAACTGCAGAAAAAGAGGAAAAAATACTGTAACATAGTCACTGTTAATAACCTGAATTTAAAAAATAAAAATGCAGACATTTTAAATTAGTACCGAACAACACTAGTTCATATTCCAAATAATCCCTCATGCAACTTCCTAATTTCTTCTTCTCCAGTGTTTCTTAGAAACCAAAATAGAAAAAAAAAAACCATTTTCGCTCGCCAAAGTGTTCTCCGTTTCTTCTCCTCCTCAAGGCGCTCGAGAAAATCCCTCGTCTTTTGCCCTATATCCGGCAATTTAGAGGCACAGCGTTCCAGAGTCCTCTGCTGCCGTTGGATCATCACTTCCAGCTTGTGATCAGGCAAGTTCTCCAAAACTTCCTCTTTGCTTTAATCATCGCCGCCGCACATTGCGTCGGGTTTCCTCGGTGGTGGCTGCGGCTCGCCCTTGATAACCACTAAGGGGGGCGGTGGCTCCTCATCCCCTGCTTGCCTTGAGAGTAACTTGTTCCAATCAATGTCTAGTTTCCTATTCCTGTTTTTCTTTTCTACTTCCATGCAAACACCTACATGTACGGCAGAATTTTCTCCCCTCCCCGTTTATTTTCTTCTGCTACTGCCACCCTTTATTTATTTTTCTTTTCTTTTTTCCGTTATTTGAGCAAGAAAAAATATACTATTGTTAACGTCCACGGTGGCGCTGTGAAAGGACTGGAAATGGAAATGAAGAAATTCGTCGTGGCATCATGACTGCTGTTAGGAAATTGTTGTACTGTTATTAGCAGAAATTATTAATTGGGCTGGGCCGACTTTGGACTTTGGACCAAGTTTGGCTTCTGAAAAAGAGAAAATTCTAAACACACCCCAAAATTTATTCTTTACACCAAAAAGACAAAATCAAAATCAAAATCAAAATCAATTTTTACTCTTTACACTCCATTCCAATATTTTTCTTTTCTCCATATGCTCTTTACACTTTTATCTCTATTCTATTTCTTTCTTCCTTTCCTGCTTCTTCAATCTCTAAAATAAAAAATTAAACCAAAATTTAAGTCAAAAATCATCAATTAAACCTAAAAGTCGTAACTTTTCAATTAAACAATCTAACAAACTTTTGTATTGAAATAAGTTTTTATTGATTTTTTATTAAATATAGTTTAAAATCTATCTATATATTTCATAAAATTGTGTATTGTAAAAAACAAATTTTTGTAAAACATAAAGGATTTAGAAATTTAAATTTTCATAAGATTTTAAAAATTTTATGAATTTTCATTTTCATAAGCCTTTTAAAAGCTCGTGAAAAATAAAAATATGTGAGCTTTTAAAAGCTTAGGGAAATCCAAGTTCAAAGGTTTTAAAAACACCCATGACATGTTATTAGTTCGATAGAAACTTGAAAGATCTCAACACTTAAGAAATTTCTCCATGCTTGACATGACTATTATAGGTCGATTTATGTCTTCACTTCCTTTAGTGTTTGACATTTGTACACTATATTTTTTGTATATCTATTTTGATAAATTTTATATCTGACTGGTTATGAATATTTTATAATATTGAATATGCATACCTAATAACACATATCGAATATACATAATCGATAATATTAGAGTTTACCGAAAATATACATCAAGAGTTTACAACAAAATATATATAACGCATATTATATTATCAAAAAGAGAAATAGAGAATGATGTAAAAAAAGTTAAAAAATAATTTATTAAGAGATAATTAAATAATTTCACGTAAAAATAATTTTATAATAAAAATTTATGGGTGTGGAAAACATTTTTTGGGATATGTTTAGAAATCCATGAATGTGAATAGTAATCATAAAGATGATTCTCGAATTGAATGGGTAAATTTTATGAAGGGTCATCCAATTTATATTCAAATCTCATTTTAATCACAAAATTTTAATTTGTCCTATCTAGATCATTTTAATTTGTTAAGTATACGAAAGTTGGTCAGTCTAATAGATTCCATTCAAATTTTAAAAAAAAAAAATTATGTGGCTGTTGTATTACAACCACATCATCTACCATATTAGCTAACTAAACCCATTTAATTTCATGAAAGGTCATTAGATTTTAACCTAATTTTCAAATAAGTCACTAAACTTTAATTTATTATTATAAAATTATTAAAATTTGTTAAGTTTACCAAATTTGATTATTTAATAAATTTTATTCAAAATAAAAATTATATAAATTTAAATATTAAATTTGACCAAACAACATCTATGTTTTTTATATAACAAAAAATTCTCTCGTACCCCACAAAAAATCAAAAGAAAAATGTAAAACCATAGCACATTTAATTAATATTTGTTTTCCTAAAGTATTATTGCTTTAACTAAATTATAAGGACGTTTTCTTTTATTTAAATATTTATGCTTTTTAATTTAAATAAAAGCAATAAAATTTTAGCAAAAACTAAATATTTATTAAAAATCTATCTGGTCTAAATTTTTTTTTTTAAATTTTTTGTAGGGTACGAGAGAATTTTTGACTATATAAAAAATATTGATGTTGTTTGATTGAGTTCAATATTTAAAATTTATCGAAATTTTATTTTGAATAAAATTTATTATGATAACAAAGTTTGGTACATTTAACGTATTTTAGTGACCTTATAATAACAAATTAAAATTAAGTGATCTACTTAAAAATTAAATAAATTAAAATTTAATAACCTTTTATGAAATTATAAGGGGTTTAATTAGCTGATTTGATTGATGATGTGATAGTCATATTATTTTTTTATCAAAATTTAAATAAAATTTGTTAAGTAATTAATTTGATATAAATTTGTTAAGTAATTAATTTTGATATACTCAATAAGTTTTAATGATACGAATAGAATGAATTAAAATTCAATAATCTAAATGAGATTTTGATATAAATTAAATGATTTTTCATGAAATTTACCTCGAATTTATTACTTATATTTTATAAAAAAAATAAAAAATTTAAGATTATTTATTCAATGATTTTAATTAAAAACTTTAATTGTATTATTAATAATTACACTTTACTTTAAAAAAAATACCGATTAGGACAGGGAATCCAAAAATTGTTCGGTCCATTTTCAATTTGAAAAAACATGTTCCATCAATTCGAAGTACAATGAATTTTCCATTAAACTTGGCGACCAAAGAATAATTTTTAATTTATAATTTCATCTACATTTTAAAATTTTGAGAACCTACTATTGCTTTTGCAGTGAAAAAACTCTTTCGTAATCCACTTCAATTTAAAAACACATGCGCCGAATTTCCTCCAACGAAAAAGCGCCACGTTTGGTGAATTAAAAAAAAAGCAGACTCCGGCGACCAGGCAATCGAACCCCTATTAACAATCACGCGCTAAAGAACAACTTCATATCCTAGCTTTCTTTTCTTCTCTAGGGCACATAGCGATAGCATAGGGTGACATATGAACAGCGCATGGGAGTTTAAATAACCATCTGTCAATTTCGAAAATAACACAAAATCCAAATCAAACCCCCAAAAACAAAAAAACCAAGAACAAATAAAAGTAACAAAAATCTTTAAAAAATTAACTAACTTGATTCCCCGATCTCTTTTCTTCTTCAATGGCTGATGCTCCTTCCTCGCCCGCAACCCTAGACCCCACCAATTCCCAATTCAAACCCGATTCCCCTAACCCGAATGTGCAACCTGCCCAACCCGATCCCCCTCCGTCCTCTACCACCACAACACCGCTCCAACCAAACCCTAACCCTAATCCTAGCGCGCCCCTGCTATCTCCTCAACCTCTTCCCGCGATCCCCTCTTACTCTACTGCTCCAACGCAGATCTCCGGAGCCACCACCGCCGTCGCGCCGGCGCCTCCCTCAATCCGTCCCGTTCCGCAGTTTTCACCGTTACCGAATTTTCAAGCTCCTTGCGTGCAGCCGCCCGGCGTGAGCTCGGCTCCTGGTTCTGTTCCACCGCCGTTGATGCAGTACCAGATGCCGGCGGGTCAGGTTCCAAATCCTGCTCTTAGACCATTTGCGCCGATTCCAAATGGATATGCCGCCGTGCCGGGAGCTGTTCCTCAGGGCAGCATGCCTCCTCCCGGTGGGTTATTCCTTCCATTTTTAAGTTCTTGCATAGTTTTGGTGAATTTAATTATTAATCTCTAATTTGAATTTTGTATTATTAAGTTGATTATTGATTTTTATGTGTATATTTTTGCTGTATTATTTATTTTGTGGAATTGTTATGTATGTGATGATAATATTCTTAGTTAATGTAAGAGAATGAGGAAAAAAGTTTAGAGTTGAATAGAGAGGAGTTTTGGGAGAGATATAGAAAAAAGGGCATCGATGACGGGATGTTTTCTCCTACAGTGTCTTGATTGAACACGGGTGAGAGAAAGGTTGGAAGGGCTTCAATTCAATATTGCTTAGAGACACCCACTTCTACTACAACTCACTCCCTTTTTGGTATGCCCACGTTTGCTTGGTTTTCCTTAATTGCATTTAGAGTTAAAAAATGTGGATTTTAAATATTATATTCTAGTTAAAGCCACTTAAGATTTGTAATAGAAATATATGAAAAAGCATACAGAAGAATTTGATAACTTTAACTGTTCCATTTTGTTCTAAATCATGTCTCCCACTGTCATGTTCATTTTAGTAGGCTATATACTTTCTGGTAGTTATAAGGATAATTTCCCTTTCATGGGTTTATGAATTGCCAGCAGCAGACTATGTTAGCAACTGAATGCTCCTTGGCTTTGTATTCTAAGGTATTGCAATTCTCCCAGTTACATTTTTCTTTCTTGTTTTCTCCCTGCCCATTTCTCTATCTTTCTCTTTGAGTTTCTTTTTTATTGTGGCACTTAGCCTCTAACAGTTGAGATAAATCTAAATGGTGAAATATGAAAGTTGAATTTTGTATTAAATAATTCACTTGCAAGCATGAGATGCTGGAAGTCTCATGTTATCCAATCCTCAATATTGTTCATTTGGTGCATGGGATAAGGCTATTAAGAAGTGGATGTCTAAGGTAAGTGCACTTTACATAGCCATGATTATGAACTTGGTGCTATTCTCTTGGTGTTTCCTTCAGGTTTTCTGTTCAGCTGGTGATAGTTGTCATGCCTGTGGTGCCATCTCTTTATAGTTTTAATGTGTGGTAAAATCATTTAATTATTCTTTGGGAAATTATTTTCTGTAAGAGTGGTTAGTGGCATCGAAAAATTTATTAATGTGTTAATTTTGTTAACTTGCTCTAATATGGTTGCATAGATATTTGTTTTCTGTTCATGCAGGACTTATCCGGTATCCTTCTCCTTACCCAGTAATGATTCGGCCTGCATTCCCTCCACTTCCACCTGGAGCAATTGGTGTGATTCCAGTAGTGCCACGTCCTCCTGTTCTAGGTGTTCCCGGTGTTCGTCCAATTATTCCTCCTGCAATTAGACCAGCTGCTGTTCCTAATGTTACACCAGCAGAGAAACCACAAACTACAGTTTATGTTGGCAAGATAGCACCAACTGTGGACAATGACTTCATGCTGTCTCTTCTTCGCGTGGGTTATTATTATCATTATTATTATTATTGTTATTACTATTATGTATTTCGTTTTTGAAAACGCTTCATTTATGTTTATCTTGAAGCTTTGGCTTTATTTAAAGTTATTTTTTCCACCTTTTTGAAGCTTTGTGGACCTGTCAAGAGTTGGAAACGTGCTCAAGATCCCACTAACGGAACTCCTAAAGGTTTTGGATTTTGTGAATTTGAGTCTGCTGAAGGGGTTCTTCGTGCATTGCGCCTACTTAGCAAATTTAATATTGACGGGCAAGAATTCGTGGTATGTTCTTTTTATTATTCTTTCCCATCCCCCATGATTGCCTTACGGGTAGTGTTTGGTATCATTTTTAATATCACAATCGTAATTTGATCACCGAAGTGATCTTATTACTAAAGTGATCGTATAACTCGTGATTTGGAATAATTTTGTTAGTTAATAATTTGGAAGTAAATACCATTGTGGTAGGTATTACTAAAAATAAAACATTATTTTGTTTAAAAGTACAAAAATATTCATATATATATATATTGTAATAGGTATATAAGTTAATGATTTCAATATTGTTTAAAGATAATAATTTATAAAATATTAATTATATTTTATTTATTTTATAATAAAATATAATTAAATTATTAAATCAACAAATATATTTATTGATAGGTAAGCTAATTTTTATAATATAAATTATGTAAAAGAACATTTGAATTAGAAAATGAAACTAATTTATTAAAATCTTAACAAAAGAAAAATAAAAAAGATTATATTATATATAAAATATTAAAAAAAAGTTAAAAGAAAGCACATAAATTATTTTTGAACTTGCTACAATAAATATTAGTTTGAAATATAAAATTTTATAATATAAAATAATTACAATTTTGACGGGAAGTAAGTTTTTAATTCACCTATTAAATGAGTAATATTCACTATTGTTAATTTTATATAATAATTCACCACGGCGGTAAAAGTTTTCCATCAATTTTGGATGGGAATTAGATTACCCTCAAAGGCAATGATTTGATCACTTTCATTGATTCAAGATCATTGTAATATAGGATCATCAAGTGTTTACCAAATACAGCAATCTAATCACTGTATAAATCACCATTTTTTGAGGTAATCACCTTATACCAAACAACACGAAAGTGTTTTTTTACCTGTTCTAAAATGAGATAAGGTTCATTTCCAAATTCATTATGATTGGAAATCATTAATTTAGATGTTGTTTTGTGAAATTGAAAATGTAGGATTGAAAATCATGAAGTAAAATACCCTAAACAATAGCTCTTATTTTGCATAACAAAACTTTTTGGTTTATTTCTGAAATAAATTGAATTTAATAAAACTACTATTTTGTTACTGTAAGTTATATGTATCTTGTAAACCTAAATTATGTATAAAATATAAAATTGACTGGTATGATGTATGATACGTAAACATGGTAGAAAACAGTTGTGAATAACATTAAGGTGTAACATGGATTTGAAGTTGTAATTTCTCTGGTTCTATACGATCTATATTCAACCAGTATATTGCCTCACCCCTTTTCTAAATGCTCCCAAACATTTCACTTTAAAATTGTTTCAAGTGGTTACTGTATTCTCCAATTAGAAGAGAAGAATGAGGTGGGCATTTTTAAGTTAATAATTGACAGTAAATGAGAAGTTTTCTGCCTCTTTACTCTTGAAATAGGTTGTTTTAGGGTTGGGTAAATGTTCTATGGGGATATGGTAGGTGAACACATGAATTAAGTGGGAATCTTTAAGTAATATTTCTTCAGCCGTGAATGTGTATTGTCTCCACTATCCCAGAATGAAGGGTAAAGCAAGATTTTGTTCAGCTTCTGAGCTAATGCTTCTATTTGAACTAGTACCTTCTGTCTGTGGTTATTGTTTTCTTTCTTATCTTGTTTAATTGATTTGATTTTGCACTTATTGCATGGTTAAAAGTTAAATGTTAATCAAGCAACAAGGGATTATCTGGAGCGGTATGTTGAAAAGAAAACTGAAAATGCAAAGAAACTCAATGAAGCTCCAGCTACGAGGGCTGAGAAAGGTGAAAATGCACTAGGTGATGAGAAGAATGTATCTTCAACGCCTTCTGTTGAGGATTCCAAGGACAGCGACAATGGCAAGAAAGAGAATATTGGCATTGCCAACTCTGCCATCGTGACTGATGAAGACCGTGAGGCTGATCGAGATGCTTCAGAGAAGCTTGCCAGCATGATTGAAGAGAGGTTAAAGACCAATCCTCTCCCTCCACCACCTCCTCAAACTGCTCCTGATGGTTCTGGAAAATCAAATTCAGATCTGCCTGCTAAATTGAGAGATGGGGACTCTGATGCTGATGTAATGAGAAATGGTGAGTTTTTGCAGCTGTATTTATGTGGTTTTATTGCTCTCTTTATTATCTGTATCATGTCATATTATCAAAATCTATATAAAAGTCCTTGCATTTCAAGGAGAATCACACTGGAGGAAGTAGTGATACTTGTTATTTTTCTAAGATAGGAGGTTTTTATATTGATTCCATAATTTTGCAGATGGAGCTGAAGGAAAAAATGATGATGGGACTACCAGGGAGAGCAAAGCAACAACTGAGAATGATCAATCTGAGACAAGCTCACCTGATCGTAGGTATGATAGGAGAAGTAGAGATACAGAGCAGGATCTTAAGAGGGAAAAGGAGCGCGAAATTGAAAGATTAGAAAGAGAAACAGAGCGGGAAAGGATAAGAAAAGAGAGGGAACAAAGAAGGAAGATTGAGGAGGCAGAGCGTGAGTATGAAAAGTTTCTTAGAGACTGGGAGCTAAGGGAAAAGGATAAAGAGAAGCAGAGACAGTATGAGAAGGAGAGGGAGAAAGAGAGGGAGCATAAACGGAAGAAGGAGATTCGCTATGATGAAGAAGATGATGATGATTTGAGAAAAAAGTGGCGTAGGAGTGCTTTGGAGGAAAAGAGGAGGAAGAGGTTGCGGGAGAAGGAGGATGACTTTGCTGACAGACTCAAAGAAGAGAAAGAAATTGCTGAGGCCAAGAAGAGAGAGGAGGAACAGCTGCAACTGCAACAGCAGCGAGATGCATTGAGGCTTTTGTCTGGTCGCGTTGCAAATGGAGGTGAAAAGACTGTGTTGGTAGAAGAAGCTAGCACTGAAAGCAAAGATAAGGCAATTGAACAGCATTACAAGTGTGAATCAAGTTATGAAAGCCAGATATTTGGTAATGTACATCTTCTACATTTTATGTTACTTTAATTTAATTTGTGTTCCATATTTTATTATTATTATTATTATTATTATTATTTTGAAATGGACTATATTTGTATGTGATAGATGATGGGATTATGCAAAATGGTTCTGTTGATGAATCAAACATGGCCTTTGTTGCTGCATCAGATGCACGACAGAGTGGGAATGCCCCAGCAAGGAAGTTGGGTTTTGGTCTTGTTGGATCTGGAAAGCGGACTACTGTCCCATCTGTTTTCCATGAGGAGGAAGATGATGATGCACAGAAGGACAAGAAAATGAGGCCTCTGGTTCCCATTGATTATTCAACTGAGGAACTGCAGGCTGTCCAACCTGGCACACCAACACCCAATTTGGTTGCAGCTGCTGAATTTGCAAAGCGAATATCAAATGTTAATCCCAAAGAGGAAAAGCCTGATGCAGAAAGAGAACGAAGCAGACGTTCATATGATAAATCTAGCAGGGATAAAGACCATAATCACGAGGATAAAAATCGCACTAGAGATGCAAGCAAAGAAAAGATCCCTGATTGGGATAAGGACAGGGAACACGGACAAGATAAGGTGAAAACAACAGATCACCAGAAGCTTTTGGATGCAAAACAATTAATTGATATGATTCCAAAGACCAAGGAGGAACTATTTTCATATGAGATAAACTGGGATGTGTATGACCAGGTAATAATCCTTTCTCAGGTCCTTATTCAACTGTTAATTTTGAGAAACATCTGGCTTTTGGTGAGGTTAACAAAGTGCAAATTGATGTAGAACAAGTAGGGAAAAGAAACAGAATATAGAAATTTAGGGAGCGACTCTGAAATAGGCAAGGACAATAAGGGAAGAACAGAGGAAATCGATGGAGAAACAGAAGATTTTAGGGAGAAAATCTCAATATCATAATAACTCATATTCAATATCCAAATTATAATCGAAACAGGAGATTTTAAGGAAATAGAGTAGGGGTTAGGGTAGGCCATATTTATATTTCTACTCTACAATTGCGTACTGGAATGATTGTGTAATATCTCTGGTGATGTTGAAACTCAATTCTTCACTTTTTGGCTTTAATCTTACTGGCTAATTCTAAAATGTTACTCTTTGTTGTGGTGCATTTCTACAGCATGCATTGCATGAGAGAATGAGACCCTGGATTTCGAAGAAGATTACAGAGTTTTTGGGGGAGGAAGAGAAAACACTGGTAGATTACATTGTATCCAGTACTCAGGAACATGTTAAGGCTTCCCAAATGCTGGAGCTGCTGCAGTCAATATTAGATGAAGAAGCTGAGATGTTTGTGCTTAAGATGTGGAGAATGCTCATATTTGAAATTAAAAAAGTAGAGACTGGTCTGGCTTTGAGGTCGAGAGGCTGATTGAACACTGTTGCACTGTGGCTCCTATGTTGCAGCAGGACTGAGTGTTTTATTGCATAGTTGTTACCTCCATGGGGGTGAATCATGTATGTCTCTTCCTTCGGCCTTTTACTGTAAGACCAAAATGTATATTGAATTAGGAGTTAGCGTTGTTGAGTTTTGATTACTTCTAGGTGCATTTTGTTATGTCAACCCAATTTTTTCTTGCTGATTTCACCTTTTTTGGCCCGCTCTCTATGGAAGATTAATATTTTGCAATCACTTTTTTTTTTTTTATGAATAGTTAAATGAGCTCGTATAAGTACATAAAATTTTACTTGCAAGGTTTTGAATTTCATTCTATGTATATATTTGTAAAGAGTTTAAATTTCATTTTATGTTTTATTATGAGAGTGGATTAGGATTTAGTTTGTTATATACTTGTGAAGACGCAATGCACAACAAGTTATGCACAAATTAGTTAAATTTTAATATGTTTATATATTTGAAAGGATAGGAGAAGATGATTTCAAATTCATATATAATTTTAGATATTTCAAATTCACTTCTAAATAAAAATTCAATTTGAAAATAATCATGGAAGTCATATTTACATTTGTTTTATCACATTATTTTATATTTAATTTGAAATTCAGATATATTTTTTTAAATCCAAGTTATGAATATATTTTTTAATAGTGCATTTGAAGCACAGGATAAGATAAAAAATAAGATTATGAATAAGATAGAATAAAATAAAATTAAGTGATATCATCAAATTTTATATTTAGTGTGTACAATAAATAAAAATATATCAATCATATTTGTTATCTATAAGATTAAAAGTAAGATAAATCAATTTTTTTTATTGATCAAAATTATTGTTTTAAAAATTAAATATAATTTAAATTTATAGTATGTTGTTAAAAATGTAATTTAAAAAATTGAGAATTTTTTTAATTAAGCTGATATAAAATTTAATAAAAAAAACTTTAGTAGTAATAATATAGATATTAAACTGCTGGATTCATTATCCAATAGTAGTTCTGTCGATTGTCCTTAATTTTAATCGTTTTGAGCATCTTTATTTTGCCCTTTTCTGAGAGAAGAACGTACGTAGCACTAGTAGTACTAGTTTTCTTGTTCAAGACGAGACAATGTGGGTCCTGTGTCACCAGTTCAAGGAATGGAAGGGCTTATCCCAGGTGATAGCTCCTAGTCCTCGTCATTTGTGTTTGTTGTTCAAAGTAAAAATCACATAATAGGAATATCTGAGTAGGATTAAATTGCACATAACTACAGCGCAGGGTATAATATCCAATTTGCGTATAATCTTCATTTCCATAACAATATTTGCTTCAATCATCATAAACCTAAAACTGGCCGCAAACTAAACTAAAAGTGGATAATAACCAAATGTTTCAATTTGTTTTTTTCAATTGGTTGTTAAGATACAGGCATACAAATACAGCCGACATGCACACTTTAGGTACAGGATCCATCATACAATTTGAAGAAAAACAATGCTACTAACAGTGACCTTTAGACAGCTTGACAAAGGTAAAAACACCATTAAGACATATCCACGCCAACCACCTGTTCGTGGGATCTGGCTAATCTAAGTAAGAAAATGCTTGAATATCAGATGACCCAGAACCAACTTATGACTGATCCTGATGCCAGACCAACAACTAGAAACAATACCATAACAATGCCCGCAGTCTCTGCATGTTGTATCTGAACAGATTTGGGAGACAGGATCATTAACACACTCGTCAAGTAGCCATTAGTTAGCCCTAAAAGGCAAGTCAGTATTGAGACAGGAATCTCTGTCCTGAAGAACTGAGGACCATGCAAGCAAGCTATGAAGAGGGGAAAAAACAGTAACCTCACAACACAAGCAGCAATTGCAACCTTTGCATTTTCAAGAAGATAAACTGCAGTCAATGATTTGCCAACCAGGTCAAACACATTGTAGCCTGTAATAAGGAGAATTGGATACCAGTCCTTGAGAATCAATGAGTGCACGTCCTCTGTGATGTATCCTGGAAATATAGACAAAGTCACAATGTATATGAGTACAATCCCAAATCCATACCATTTAACTGTTCCCACTATATTCCACAAGGTTGCTCTCCAAACAGGCCCGGTAACAGGACCTTTCTCCTCCTTAACAGCCTCAGTCTTCAGCTCCTCATAGTACTTCATAATCGGAAGTCTGTGAGCCACATTGTACAAGACTATGCATATGAACATAACCACAATGCTAGTAGAAAAGTAAAGATTGGCACTTTTTCTCAGGCCATCAGCATCTTGAGGAAATACAGCTTTGGTTAGGATCCTTAGCACTGAAACAAGGACCCCTGCAGCCAACTATTTGACAAATTAAAATTGCACCTAATGCAATAGTTATCACTTATCACCTAGATTAATAACTAGAAGCACACAGTTCAGCATAATCAGATTTTATTAAAAAAAAAAAAAAAACACAGCAATAAATTTTGTATCCAGGAATATTCAAGCAAAACTATTGAGAATATGCGTATTACTAGTAAATAAGGTTTAATTTCTATTACACCTTATAAAAAGCATAGCTATAGACCGTATAGAATAGAGGAAAAATGTTTCAAGTAGTTCAAGATTCAGTGTTCATAGTGTTAAATGGATTGGCCCACCAAGGTCCTTGAAAGTGAAAGATGCTTAGTCAAGAGCTTTATTAATGGCGAACTAAGCCAACCTTACAGCTGTTTACAGGAAATCTTTCTTGAAAACAACTCCTATATAAAGACCGTTAAGCTATAGTTGACTCAAATCACATGTTGAGTTTCTATAGTTATACTAAGCAGCTCAATTTATGAGCCTTTAAATAATCAAATGAACAAGGTCCTTAAAAATTGCGTAATTGACAGCAGAATCAGTTTAATGTTAACTCCACTAAAAATCACACTATCTCCCTTTGAGCTCTAAAAGAGCAATTGCTCCCTCCATTAAAACGACTTCTAAGCACTCATTAACTTAAGCTACTCTAAAGCAAAGTCCTTACGTAGATTAACTGCATCCAACATTCAAGCATTCATGTGTTCAACAAAATTAATCAACACACATAACTAAAATTACTCCAAAAAATCGTTTTTAAATTACCAGAACCGGCAGTTCCTGCAAAAATAGCCTGCATGTAGCGTCCAGGCAATTCACCAGCCGCCCCAACGAGCCCACCTTGAACAAGCGCATCTGCTATACCCGACAAACCGACAACCCCGACTGTAACGTAAAATCCGTCATACAACCCGACCCGACCCTTTATATAAACCGCATCCATAACGGGCACAACGAGCAGGGCAACCACGAACAGGCCCAACCCAACATTGATCCGCACGTAAGATTCACTCTTGTGGGCATAGAACACTATGATCAAGAGGCAGCAGAGGCCGACCACCATGTAAACGACGGCGAAGACACGGTCGACCGAAGCGTCGGGGTAGAGGTAGGAAAAGTAATCGATGGCAGTGATGAAGGCATTCCATGGGAGGAGGAATCCGACGCCTAACGTGAAATAGATGATGTAGGCCAAATGGAATTTGTCTTCGGGAATAGCCGGTTTCAAAGGGGAGTGGAGGAGGAGGGAGGATTCCGAATCGGGTTCGGGTCCTCCGTCGATCGCGGGTGCACCGGAGAAAACCATTTGGGATTTCTTTTTTTTTTTTTCAAATGCAACTACGATGACTTTTAAAATTGGATGACCTTTTTCCCTGGAAGAGAGATTGGTTTGGATTGTTCTTTGGAGGTAGGTGGAGTGTTTCTTGGAGATTTTTCTTGGCACGGAAGATGGCAATATACGATGTCGTTTTTCATCAGGAAGCAATAAATTTTTTTGCATTTTTAATTAATAACTAGAACATGATAAAAAAAAAACTACTTAAATATGTTTAATTTTAGAAGTGTTTATATTTTGTATTTTAGTTTGATATAATTAATTAAAATTTTTAAAATTTTATTTTAATAAATGAAATATAAAATAAAACATGAAATAGATATTTAAATATTTTATTTAATGATAAATATATGTAAGTGTCTATCAAAGAATTAATTTTTAATCTCCATCTTTCAAAAATTAAACTAAAAGAAGTTATACATAAATATAATTTTCATGCATTATGTTATTTTTTGTACAATAAATGTTTTACATATAAAATAAAAAATTATATTATTTAATCTTAATAAAGCATATTAATTTTATGCTTTCATTTATTTTTTAAATTATATGTTATTAAAATTGAGCTTTAACCCAATATAAAAAAATCAAATCTAGAGTTGATGAAATTCATTCGGCCTGGTTAGTTTCGAGTGGATCGCAAGCCTCTAAAGCATATATAAGTTGAATGTGGATGAGAATTAGGTTGTTGGAACAGGTCGTTGCTTCCTTCTTTTAGGAACCAAAATTGCAACATTTTGGTCTTGAATAAGACTTCGAAATAGAGCAAACTTCTTCACTCTCCCTTTATTTCTCTACCATTAAATCTCTCACCTTTTCTTTATCGTTTCTTTCTTCTCAAGAACACTTTCCTAACTCAGAAAATTAATGTTGTCCAGTCGTTTCTTCTATCACAAGTTGCCGTTTGCTAATTACCAAAATCGAAAAGAAAATTTTTGTCAAGATCATCTTAGTTTCCTCATTCATTTTCCTGAATTATATCTTTTAAACTTTTATTGTTCTCTCTGTTCTCTTTTCATTCACACCTCCAAAAAAAAACCTCAATGAAACAAAACTGTTTTTTTATTTGGCATTTTTTAATTCGAAAATGAAGCATTAGCTATTCACCTCCCGACTCTGATATAGAATTTTAGCGTTATAAGGACAGTCATTGGGCATCGAATTTTATTCGGATTCTTCGGATTAGATCTTAATTTTTAATTTTGTTTTAATTTTATTAAAATTAATAATTAAATATTAAATATTAAATATAATAATAACAAAAAAAGAAGAAAAAAGATTGGGGTATGCATAGTGTTGTGCACGACACCAGCCTATGTACCTACTTACCCTGGACCATCTTTTGGCCACCAACTCCTATATCCAACAAAACAATTGCGCTATACCCTTCCCATGAGACCCATCACCTTCTGCAATTGCCTTCATTACCTGGCAGTAGGGATTATGGCAAAAAAATGTGGGTTTGATCCTCGTTTGGCCTATAAATAAGAGTTAGAAAGCACAAAAAAAAAAATGCCCCTACTAAAAATCATGTCCAAAAACCTTGCAAGAAAATACCTACTAAAAAACAAAAGAAAACTCTATAAAAAAAAATCCACAAACCACCACAAAAAAAAAAAATCCAAGCTATTGAAAAACCAAACACAAAACAAAAACAATAAAAAAAATCAAAGTATTCCCTATGGAGAAAAACCCAGCGCTATAGCCAAAGCTCATACAAAAAGGGAAAAACAAAAATTAGTTTCTATATAAACATAAAAAAATATATTTTGGCCGGATCTTCAAAGCCTGATCCATGCCGATTGAGGTTATTTTTCACAAAAAAGAGGATAAATCTAAATGTAGGGGAGCGAAAAGAGTCTATGAGTGTTATTTTAAAAAATTTAGGAGAAGATCACTGGTGGCTGATGATTGGCAACATATGGCAAGCCACGGTTAGCTTTTAGAAATCGCACGACTCTTGAGTTTTGGTTCAGAAAAAAAAGTTTTTTTTCTTTTTTAAAGTAAAGAGTAAATGAGCTAAAAAAATGTAGAGCTTTTATATAGGTGAAATAGGGGCCAAATCAACATCGTTTTGAACCTCTGAGAATCAACATGTTAGCTAGTGACCTGACCCTAAGTCTGCGCAATTGACCCGACCCAACTCTCCCTTTTACCTTCTGACGGGTCCAATTAGACCGTCCCAAAATGACGCTAATTGATTTGGTTTAATTTTTTTAAAAAAATTTTTGATTTAATTTTTTAATATTATTTTTAGTTTTTTATTATTATTATTTATACATGTTTAAAATTTTAAATTTTCTAGAATAAAATGTTTTATTTTTTTTAACAATAACAATAAAAATGAGAATAAAGAAATAAATAAAAAATTAAAATGAAAATTTTTGATAATTTTAAATTTCATGAAAAATTTAAAATAAACCTTATAAAATAATAAAATAAAAATAACTAGATAATAATAATAACAATAATAAAAATAAAAATGATATCAAAACTTTTGATTTTTTATATTTGAAAAATAAAAAAAGATAATAACCAAAAAATAAATAAAATAATAAAATCATATATATAATGATAATGAAAATAGAATAATAAAAAAAATTTCTCTACCTAGATGATGGAAGAAATAAAATTCATCTTTAAAAAATAATAATAATAAATAATTCTACCTAGATGCTGAAAAATTAATGAATAACAAAAATAAAAACAAGTAATAATAATAATAATAATAATAATAATAATAATAATAATAATAATAATAAATTTTTATGAAAAATTTTAAATTAATTTTCAGAAATCATAATAGCGAGCTTGCTCCAAAACTTTGTCTAAATGTTGTAGATTTTTATAAATGTTTGTATTTTTAAATTTTTTAAAAATATCCATTACCTTCCTCAACTACCCCCATCACTTGGCAGTAGGGATTGCAGTAAAAAAATATAGGTTTGATTGTCATTTGACCTATAAATAAGAGTTAGAAAGCACAACATCAAAAAAAAGAGAAAAATCCTACTGCAAAGCCTTGCCAAAAAATACCCATCAAAAAACAAAAAAAACTCTTCAAAAAAGAAACCCACAAGCCACCACAACCAAAAAAAAAAAAAAAAGCTTCTATCAAATAAAAAAAAAAACAAAATCCCAAGCTATTAAAAAGCCAAACACAAAACAAAAGGAAAAACGAAAAAAAAAAAAAACCATAACCTTCCCCGTGGGGAAGAAACTAGTGTCATAACCGAAACTTTTACGAAAAAGGGAAAAACAAAAATCAATTTTTATACCAACATAAAAAACAAAAAATGTGTTTTGGTGGGATCTTTAAAGCTTGATATATGCTGATTGAGGCTATTTTTCACACAAAATAGGATGGATTTAAGTTTAGGGGAGCGAAATGAGTCTAAGGGTATCTTTTGAAAAAATTTTAATGAAGATCATCGACGGCCGACGATCGATGACCAGTGGCATATGATCAGTTTATGAAAATTGCCCGATCCCTCTAGGTTTTGGTTCAAAGAAAAAAAAGTTTTTTTTTTTTTTTTAAGTGAGGAGGAAATAAGCTAAAAAAAATTTGAAGCTTTTATATAAGTGAAATAGGGAACAAAACGACAAAACAATGTCATTTTGAACCCCCAGGATCTTTGTGCCAACATGCAACCCGACCCTAGGTCTGCGCAACTAACCTGACCTAGCTCTCTCATTTACCTTTCCGATCAGTCCAGTTGGACTACCCTAGATCGATATTGATCAGACCATTGATAAGTCCAATTTAGGTTTTTTTTTTTAATTTTATAAATTAATTTTTAATATTCTTTTTAATTTATTATTATTTTTATACATGTTTAAAATTTTAAATTTGTTAGAACAAATGTTTATTGTTTTTTAAATAATAACAATAAAAATAAGAATTAATAAACAAATAAATAATAATAATAAATAATGAAAAATAAAATTAAAATTTTTGATAATTTTAAATTCCATAAAAAATTTAAAATAAACCTTATAAAATAAAAAATAAAAAAACTATACAATAATAATTACAATAATAAAAATGAAAATGATTTCAAAACTTTTGATATTTTTAAATTTGAAAAATAAAAAAGGATAATAACCAAAAAATAAATAAAATAATAAAAACATATATATAATGATAATGAAAATAGAATAATAAAAAAGATTTTTTTCCTACCTAGATGATGGAGGAAATAAAAATTATTTTTTTAAAAAAAATAATAAATAATTGCAAATAGATATTAAAGAATTATTGAATAATAAGAGTAAAAACAAATACGTAATAATAATAACAATAACAATAATAAATTTTTACAAAAAAGAAATATATGAAAAAATTTTAACTAATTTTTGAAAATCATAAAAGTGAATTTACTTCAAAAGTTTGCTAGATATTTAAGAGTTTTAGAGATGTTCGTATTTATAAATTTTGAAACCTTAAATTTCAAAACCCTAAAATCCTAAATCCTAAACTCCAAACCCTAAAACTCTCAACACTCTAAAAATTCAAATTTTGAAACCCAAAAATTATGAAACCCTAAAACCCTTAATACCCAAAACCCTATAACTAAAAACCCTTAAACCTTTAAAACCCTAAACTTTAAATACTTAAAACCCTAAGCCCTTAAAATCCTAAGTCCTAAAACTCGAAACTTTAAAATCATAAATCCTCGAAACCCTAAAATTTCAAAACTATAAATTTGAAAACTCTAAAATCTAAAACTCTAAACCGTAAGACTCAAAATCCTAAACCCTAAACTCTCGAAACCTTAAAATTTCAAAACCTTAAATTTTAAAACCCTAAAACCTCAAAATCCCAAAACCAAAATCCTAAAACCTAAAACCTTAAAATTTTGAAACCTTTAAACGAGACCCTAAATCTTAAAAATCCATAAATACCTTAAATTTAACCCAAACCCTAAATTTGACATGTAACCCCAAATCATCACCTGAAAACCATTCAAACTTTAAAGCCTCGACCTAATCACATACCCAAAACCATTCTAAAATTTTAAGGTATTGAAATCTACGAGAAATAAATGTAAAATGCTACCTAGAATATATATTATTAGACAATTTATTCATTAAG